CATCCACCCATCTGCGCAAGAGCCTTAGCAGGGGACAGTAACAGTGTAAGCCTGCTTTATGCTATTGTATGAAATGGTTGTTCCTATGTGGCCATTTACAATGACCTGTTCATAAAACCATATAACTTTCACAACTAAGTTTTGTTACAAAAGCAACAAAACACACACATCACAGTTTATTTTCCTCCCCATCCACCAAATACAGTGATCTTACCGATATATATCAGTGCTATATCTGTAATATACCACTGGCATTGTGAATAATTGAAGATTCCCACAAAAACCCCCCTCCCAAAGCAGCTATAACCAAAACAAGCGAGGAAAATAAAGTACAAAGGCTGCCGCCGCGACTTTATTTGCTTTCATTTGCTATTTCTTCCATCTTCATTTCCATTGAACGGAGGCACTGTGTTGGTCAGGCGCAGATAATAAAGGGAAAAAGAAATCCAAAAATCTGCTTTGCAGCCGAGCTCCTCTCCGTCTAGATGCAGCTTGACTTCCCACCGGCTTAAAAGCTTAGCCTCAGTCCTTGGCATCTTGGTATTAGGACACTGAAAGGTATTGCTTTTTAACATTGGGTTATAAATAGATTTGGCTATACGAGCCCCGTATCTCGACCCTCATCTCGCCAAGGATGCCCAAAAAGAAGTGGAGCTATTGTGTTTCTATTACAGGCCTTTGCTGAAGCAGTTATGAGTATACTCTTACTCACTTTTTGGTGCCATAGACAACCATTTTAAACAGGGTTCTTTATAGAACCCTGGGGTTCTCATCAAGCTGGGGTTTCATCATGGAGAAGAACCATTTGACAATGCAAAGAACCACTTATGCATTCAAATGGTTCTTTGAATGTTCATAGTTGTACAACCCCGTTTCCAAAAAAGGCAACAGGTCAGTAACATGATTGGGTATAAAGAGCATCTCAGAGAGGCGGAGTCTTTCAGAAGTAAAGATGAGGAGGGGTTCACCACTCTGTGAAAGACTGCACGATCAAATAGTGCAACAATTCAAGAATAACGTTTCTCAACGTAAAATAGCAAAGAACTTTAGCTTTTCATCATCTACGGTACATAATATCATTAAAAGACTCAGAGAATCTGGAGAAATCTCTGTATGTAAGGGACGAGGCCAAAAACCAGTATTTGCTGGCTGTGATCTTTGGGCCCTCAGGCAGCACTGCATTAAAAACAGACATGATTCTGTATTGGAAATCACTGCATGGGCTCAGAAACACTTCTGAAAAACACTGTCTGTGAGAACAGTTCATCACTGCATCCACAAATGCAAGTTAAAATGCAAAGAAGAAACCATACATAAAAAGGATCCAGAAATGCTGCCACCTTCTCTGGGCCTGCAATCTTTTTCAGGGAAAGCCTTGATTATTTCAGCAAGACAATGTAAAACCACATTCTGCATGTATTACAGCAGCATTGCTCAAATGGTTAAAAGAGTCCAGGTGCTAATCTGACCTGCCTGCAGTCCAAACCTGTAACCCATTGAAAAAATTTGGCGCATTATGAAATAAAAAATACGACAAATGAGCCCCAGAACTGTTGATCAGCTGAAATCCTGTATGAAACCAGAACAGGAGAACATTTCACTTTCTAAACTACAGCAGTGTCTCCTCAGTTCCCAAACACTTACAGAGTGTTGTTAAAAGGAGAGGTGATGAAACACAGTGGTAAAGTTTTCCCCGCCATTTTTTGGAATGTGTTGTTGGCAAATTCAAAATGGGCATATATTTTATGTATTAAATGGGTAAAAAAAAAACACTAAAATTTCTCAGTTTCAGCATTTGATTTGTTGTCTTTGTACAATTTTCAGTGAAATATAGGGTTTTACTGCTTTGCATATCATTGCATTCTATTTTTATTCACTTTTTGCACAGCATCCCAACTTTTTTGGAAATGAGTTGTACATTTTTAAATTAAACTCACTTTTGAAATGTACACTTATATGTATTTGTCTTTCACAAGGGTCGAGTGTATCTCCCAGTGGATAATATGAAGTTTCTACAGTTAAGGTCTAAGTTGTCTGATGTTTTTTGTCAGTAGTGTCTTTGTGTGTTTGTTACAGCTAAAGAGAATCTGATCCAGCTCCAGTGCTGGACTACTGCAGAGCTTTTCTCACACCTGGTTCAACTCTCCAGCTCATAATCGAGCCCTTTGAGAGTAAAGTAAAAGCCTTAAAGCGGAACAGTGCAGGATCCCGGTGCTTCATGACTGAAGCTGTGCACTCCTGACCCACTGAAATCACAAACAGAGCTTTAACTTATTGCATAACATCTCCGCGGGCAAGTCGTGACAAAACCACGGCTACTAGTGTTTCAACATAATCAAAAGCACAATTGAGTTGAAGGACCTCGAAATAGTGGAAAAAGTTACTTTAGGTTAAAGCGCCCATACCGTGGAAATCCAAACGTCCTTTGTGTTTGTATGTTGCACATAAATACTGTTTCAAAATGTACCATTCATTCCCCACTCCATGTAGTCAATGTTTTTGTGTTGTCACAAGAACATATTAACATACATCCATTCAGCTTTAAGCTCTTTGAGTTTCAGTAGTTTAATATAGCCAATAACACAAATATTTCAAGTTTAAGTACTTTAAAATAGTCAGGAAATGCTTTGAATAACAGTATTTTAATATGGTCAAGAACACAAATACTTTGAATTACATTACTTTAAAAAGTCAAGAACACAATTACTTTGAGTTTCGTACTTTAAAAAGTCAAGGACAGAAGTACTTTGAGTTAAAATTCTTTAGTATCATCAGGAACACTTACTTTGAGTTAAAGTACTTTGGTGTCATCAAGAACACAAATACTTTCAGTTACAATCCTTTAGTATCATCAAGAACACAATACTTTCTGTTAAAGTACTTTAGTATAGTCAAGAACACAATTACTTGAGTTTAAGTACTTTAGTATTATCAAGAACACAAATACTTTGAGTTAAAGTACTTTAGTATCATCAGGAACACTTACTTTGAGGTAAAGTACTTTAGTATAGTCTAGAACACAATTACTTTGTATTAAAGTACTTAAACATAGTCAAGAACACAATTACTTTGAATTACATTACTTTAAAAAGTCAAGAACAGAAGTACTTTGAGTTAAAGTGCTTTAGTATCATCAAGAACACAAATACTTTCTGTTAAAGTACTTTAGTATAGTCAAGAACACAATCACTTTGAGTTTAGTACTTTAGTATAGTCAAGAACACAATTACTTTGAGGTAAAGTACTTTAATACAGTCAAGAACAGAAATACTTTGAGTTAAAGTACTTCAGTGTCGTCAAGAACACAATTACTTGAGTTAAAGTACTTTAGTATTATCAAGAACACAAATACTTTGAGTTAAAGTACTTTAGTATAGTCAAGAACACAATATATTTTGGTACAATATTTTAGTATCATCAAGAACACAGTTACTTTAAATTAAAGTACCTTAGTATCATCAAGAACAAAAACACTTTGGGTTAAAGTACTTTAGTATCGTCAAGAACACAATCACTTTGAGTTTAGTACTTTAGTTTTGTCAAGAACACAAATACTTTGAGTTAAAGTACTTTAGTATCATCAGGAACACTTACTTTGAGGCAAAGTACTTTAGTATAGTCTAGAACACAATTACTTTGAGTTTCATACTTTAAAGTCATCAAAAACACAATTACTTGAGTTAAAGTACTTTCATATAGTCAAGAAAATTATTTGAGTTAAAGTACTTTCATATAGTCAAGAAAATTATTTGAGTTAAAGTACTTTAATATAGTCTAGAACACAAATACTTTGGGTGAAAGTACTTTAGTATCATCAAGAACACAATTACTTTGAGGTAAAGTACTTTAGTACAGTCTACAACAGAATTACTTTGAGTTAAAGTACTTCAATGTAGTCGGGAACACAATTATTTTGAGTTAAAGTACTTTGGTATAGTCAGAAACTTAATTATTTTGAGTTAAAGTACTTGAATATAGTCAGCAACACAAATACTTTCAGTTAAAGTACTTGAATATAGTCAGCAACACAAATACTTTGAGTTAAAGTACTTTAGTATCATCAAGGACACAAATACTTTGAGTTAAAATAATTTAGTATAGTCAGGAACACAAACACTTTGAGTTAAAGTGCTTAATATGGTCTAAACTATGACTACCCTGCAGGTACTTTGAGTTAAATGCCTTTAAAATAGCCAAACACATGATCAGTTTGAGTTAAAGTTCTTCAATACTGTCAGAAACACAATTACTTTGCGTGGACGTACTTTAAAAAAGTCGTCTAAGACAGCAAAGAACACAATCAGAAATGACCACACATGAGAAGTTTTACAGTTAAAGAAGTTTAAAACAGTGAAAATTACAGCAGAGTCAGAAACATGAATATATTGTGGTAAATTTAGCTTATGGCCACATATTCAGTCTTATTTTCAGTACAGAAGTAGATCCACTGTGTAAGCTGACCTGAATACATTCCCCCAACTGAGCATTATTTTTAAACTGCTAAATCAGACCACCTGCCTCAGCAATATGCACAGCTTAAACTGCACTTTTATTTTATTATATTTTGTCTGAATAATAAAAGCAGGTAAAAGCAGCAGAGCTGCACGTCACGGACCGTGACCCGGACTGGGAGGGTGAAGCGCGTCCCGGATGTTGAACTGAACAGCCCTTATTTATGTTTTATCCCACCCGTATTCCGTCAGACCCCGCCTCCTGCGCTCCGATTGGCCACTCGCGTCACGCCCCTTGCGCTCGGATTGGCTCCTAACGTCCCTCCTCCTGCGCTGCTATTGGCTACCACGCTCTCCTCTCTGAGGCTCCGATTGGCTAGTGGCGCGCTCTTTCCCGTGCTCTGGTTGGCTAACAGTGTCCCGCCTTCTGCGGTCTGATTGGCAAGCGGCGTCTCCGCTCCTGCGAGCTGATTGGCTAACGCTGGCCCCAAGACGAGCCAATCCCAGCCTGGGAGGGCGTGTCGTGTCGGAATACGGGTGGGGAAAAAACCCAACGCGCCTCTGCTGCAACACGCTGCTATGGAAAGTGGCCAGCTAGCCGGTTTAGCCCCAACTCGGAGGAAGGCGAGCGCCAGAAAGCGCTAAGCGGGCTTCTTTCCTTCTTTTTCGGATGTTTATCTTCGTTTCCGCTCCGCAGCAGCCATGTCGGGAGACTTCGCCGCGTTTCCAAACCAATGCAGCTTTTAACGTCGTCCGCGGACAAAAGAGCTGTCGCTGGCTGGCTGGCTAGCTAGCAAGTGTTGTTGGACCGACGGGCTTACAGGGGGCTCAGAGGACGCGAGAAAAAAGTGCTTCATCTCGGTCTGAGACCACAGATAGTTCAGGACAACACCTCAGAGCGGGTGCTTTCGGCTGGAGGACTGCGGGGTGACGTTTTCCAACGCAAGGTAACTGTGCAAACTGTGCGCCAGATGTGCTTTCCGTTGCGCATTTGTGCGCACGGACGCATCGGCGGTTGATGACTTTTGTGGGGGAGTTTGGGCAAGTTTGTTTAGCGCATCGGAGCTGAATCCGCGGGCCAGTTAGTGGCCGTGTCATCCCGTAATGGGGTGCACAGCCGAACCCAGACGCGCGTGAACGTCTCTCCTGCTGCACTGGCGTAAGTTTGGAGATGTGAGTGCATCATTAGTGACAGCCGCGTGTGCGTGTGCTCGGTGGAGGATGCGCACGTTTACGAGCCGATTCGTGATCTTCTTCGGGCCTTGGCGCATCAGGTTGGTGCCAGTCTGCGTGCCAGGCCTGTCTCGAGGAAGGAGGTGCCATCCAAACACCCGCTGACCTCCTGACCCCCGAGTGGGCTCCTTCATTTGGCTTCATTGGTTTCAACACATTCCAATACTGAACATGCTCGTGCTGCATTGCCTTAAAATGACCACGCTTAACGGGCTTTTTCAGCGGCCACGCGTTAAAGCGCTCACATCTCCAGCCAGGAAGGGAGCTAGGTGGCTGTGCGTGCACGTGCAGCATATTTAGCGTCACCCAGACCCCCAACCGCCCCCCCCCCTCCTCCACTCTCTCTGCGCCACCTTTCCTTCTGCACTTATTCCGCTGTTTTGCGAGAGATGGCCACTTCCCCCAGCTGACCCTGACCGAGCTGAGAGGTCTTTGTTTTTTTTTGTTAAAGCACGCGCGTTTGAGTTGATCCTCCTGTTGCATGATGCTGCGCTGCGCGCGTGCGTTTTTTACCAGCGAGATTTGAAACATATCCTACCCCCCCCCCCCCACCTTCTTTCCTCCTCCTTCTCCTCCACCACCACCCCCCTCCTCCTCCTCCTCCTCCTCCTCCACCTCCTCCTCCTCCTCTGCTCGTGCCCGGGCCGTCTTCTCACCGCGCGCTCCGTGTCCATGTTTCCAGGTCTGGGCGGTCTGGCTAAAATGCACCACCAGCAGCGGATGGCAGCCCTTGGCACGGACAAAGAACTGAGTGACCTGCTGGACTTTAGCGCGGTAAGCGAGAGCTGGCTGCATTTTTTTTTTTGCGTTGCTTTTGCTTTGATTGCATTGCATTTGAAGGAAAATGCAAATGCACGCGCTGGTTATTGCACGCGCTGTTTGGGCTTTTTATGTTTGCATGGTGGTGTGCAGGGATATTATTATTATTATTATTATTATTATTACTAATAATAATAATATTACTATTATGAATAATAACAACAAAATAATAACAGCAATAATAATAATAATAATAATAATAATAATAATAATAAAAGTAATAAAAGCTATAATAACAATACAAATCAAAAAAGTCAGCCCCAAAAGTTTCGTGCGTCCGCCTCACGTGCGGGACGACTGTCAGTGCGAAGCGTCCGTGCACCTTGCTTTATCCTCTCGCGCGCGTTTAAGTTTGCAGCGCCTTTTTCCCCCCTTCTCTTTTTCTTTTCGTGCACGAGCGCTGGGATGTTTTAACGCAGTGCCCTCCAATGCATGCAGGAGATTAACAGCGATGAGCGCTCGTGTGTCAGCAGCAGCACGAATTTAAAGACCCCCCCCCACCCCACGCACACACACCCCAACACCCCCCCCCCCTCCAAAAAAAAACCCACCCGTGCACGCGGGACTGAGAGAGATGCATTTAGGAAGTTCTGTTTTTTGCGCAGGAAATGTCCCCCTCACTGCTGCTGCTGTAAGCCCGCGAGCCTGGGTCAACTTTTCTACTCTTTAGTGCAAAATATTCACGAGGAGCAGGTCTGCACGAGGGAAGAGGACAAAGACAAAAAGGCACGCTCTGAAAATCTTTAGGTTGTAGAACGAGGCTGCGTTCACCGGGAATGGGATTAGTTCGGGAACGTTGCTGTAAAACGAGGCCAGAAAACATGCAGATGTGTTTGTGGTCCGTCGCTCCTAAACGCATAACTGTGCATTCCTGTTTTTAACGTGCCGTGTCCCGATTGTTTTCCAGATGTTCTCTCCTCCGGTTAGCAGCGGAAAGAACGGACCGACCTCTCTGGGAAGCGGACATTTCTCCGGCTCAAGTATGTTGGGTTTAATTCCGCTCGGATGCTCTGGGTTGTGTGTGACGGCTGGTCACATCTTTGTTTTTGTTTTGTTAATTCGTTATTTATTTATACCTGGTTGTTGTTATTATTGGTTCAGCTATTAACGTAGTGATCAGGTGCTGTTGTGCGTCTGCTTTGGAAAGTCGTAAACGTGTCATAAGGAATGGCTAATATGTTTACTATGAACCGGGTGGGCGGTCATGCTGAATGGACGTGCCAGCAGGCCCGGTGCCACCTAAGACTTCGGAAGGGCCGTGCGGCGGATGGAACGTGAAAAAGAAAAACGTAACGGTTCTCACTGCAAACCAGACGATTCACATTCTGTTCGGACTGTGTTTATTTTTAGCACAACAAAAAAAAAAACCATGCAAGCGCAACGAACAGGATCTTTTTATGCCGGTCAGATATTCTCTTCGGATGGATTGTCGTCATATTTGTCCAGAAATGTGCTGTTTGTCCTTTTCTGGCTTGTCAAGTTGAAGGAAAAGAAAAAAGGAGAGAGGGAACAAAAAAAAATGACCTTGACCCTGGACGTGTTCTCCCCCGAGGAAAAGAACGTTCCCCTCGCAGCGCGGCCCAGGAAGAAGCTCCGAGTCGGCCCAGGCGCTTGGAATGCTTGCTGTTTTGTGCTTTTGCGCGTTTGCGGAAAAGCCCACTGTGTCGGAAAGTCGGCCTTCTGGCTTCCTTCACTCGCTGAAGCTTTTTTTTCTGGAGTTGTTGTCGTCGTTGTTGTTGTTGTCGTTGCGGCGGCTGCAGTGCCGTCTGGGCCCAGGCTCTCAGACTCTGAACGGCCTGCATTGTTTTTTTTTAACCCCCAACCCCCCCCCCACCGCCACCACCACCACACTCCAACCCAGACTGGTGTGTTGTTTAGGGTTCGCTAATTTGCATGCCCCTCCACCAGCACCGACCCCCCGACACACTCCACCCCATTCCCACTTGCTCTGTGCTTTCCCTGCAAATTGTGTTGGTTGTTGAGAAATCAGAATTGCGGTGGCGTTGGCAGCTCCGAACTCCGACTATGCCCCCCTCCACCCCACCCCCGGTTGCCATGCAACTTGCATTTGGCAGGGAGATACATGGAAATGTTTCATAAAGTGTGAATCGCCTAAATATTGCGCCTAAATAAGGTTATTCGGCTTCGGTTTAGCGCTGAAGAGGAGACTCCCGTCCATTGTACGTGGCCTCGGAGCCACAAAGGGGCACCGGTGCCAGCCTCGCGGGCCAGGCCTGCGGTTCTGTCCACACTGTAGCTTATTAGTCCGGGAGCAGAGCTAATAACAACCTGCTGCCGGACGGCGGACATGGGACGGAAAGTATTCCGAGAAAACCCGAATCTGCTGCTGCGCTACGTTTCGCTTGTCAGTCAAAAATAACTAAATAAAAATAAATAAATAAACAAAAGCGGCTGATTGCATGCACGGAGAAGGAAACCAGTCACTTAATACTTTTTTTTTTTTTCCCTCTTCCTCCCACTATCCTGCGCCTCTCGCGGCGTCTCTTTGTCTTCCTCTCAGGAAGCAGAACGACGAGCGCGAGGGAGAGAGAGAGCGAGGGTTACTGAGAGAGAGAGAGAGAGAATCTCCATGCTTTAATTGTGCGTAGGATTAGGAATTAATAGGCATTTTAGCTGGTAATAGTGATATTATTAGCATTATTTACTATCTAATGCTAATAATTACCCTTGGTTAATAATGGCTATCATTTCAAGGTTCCGTCGGAGAGTTATTCCTCGCCGGGCGCTTTCGGTTAGCGGGGGTAAAAATATCTCCGGTTTTGGCAAGGAGACGCTTCCATGTAAATGGACCTTCGTGCCAGCTAGTCCAGCGCCAACAGCCATGATAGAATTGTTCCTCACTGCCAGTGACTGATACGCTGTGAATAGGGCCTACCTCCACCAGCCTGGCTGCCAGGTTTGGCACCAGATAAAAAGTTTTATGTGTGGCAAAGCATTTAGTAAATTAATCCGGTCGACATTGTTTAAGTATGAAAAGATTCGGCTGCACATGTGCGCCGCTCGACGCTTTAATTCCCGAGGTTTATTTTATTTTATTTTTTGCTAGCGGGAGGCTCATTGTGTTATTAATAGACCGTCCTGCGTCGATGCCAAGCCGACATTAGCCTCCCAGTCTTCATTATTACAATAGAAAGCATATAACGGGTCTCACACCGAAGCTAATGCTAAGACGAATGCTTGCTAAAGCCGTACTGCACCATGCGCTATGTTTAAATATGAGCAAGCAATATGAGCAAGATGCTAGTAATGACTGAATACTGAGTACTAAATGTGTTCAGTAGCTTCGTTACAATATATAATATTCAGAGAACATTTACAGTATATTTATATTTTGATGAGGCACACAGGAAAATCTTTTCTTCATGGAATTTTTCTCTTAATATGAAAAATTTGCTTATTATTTAAATGAAGTTTCAGAAATTCTCAACTTTTTGCATCAACTGATGTAACGCTCGCTTATTAATAACTGATCACATTGATTTATCAGTCTACTCAGGCTTTAGCAGAGCTCAGTAACACTGAGATTAATAACTGATCACATTGATTTATCAGTCTACTCAGGCTTTAGCAGAGCTCAGTAACACTGAGATTAATAACTGATCACATTGATTTATCAGTCTACTCAGGCTTTAGCAGAGCTCAGTAACACTGAGATTAATAACTGATCATCTCATTGATTTATCAGTCTACTCAGGCTTTAGCAGAGCTCAGTAACACTGAGATTAATAACTGATCACATTGATTTATCAGTCTACTCAGGCTTTAGCAGAGCTCAGTAACGCTGAGATTAATAACTGATCACATTGATTTATCAGTCTACTCAGGCTTTAGCAGAGCTCAGTAACGCTGAGATTAATAACCGATCACATTGATTTATCAGTCTACTGAGGCTTTAGCAGAGCTCAGTAACACTGAGATTAATAACCGATCACATTGATTTATCAGTCTACTCAGGCTTTAGCAGAGCTCAGTAACACTGAGATTAATAACCGATCACATTGATTTATCAGTCTACTCAGGCTTTAGCAGAGCTCAGTAACACTGAGATTAATAACTGATCACATTGATTTATCAGTCTACTCAGGCTTTAGCAGAGCTCAGTAACACTGAGATTAATAACCGATCACATTGATTTATCAGTCTACTCAGGCTTTAGCAGAGCTCAGTAACACTGAGATTAATAACCGATCACATTGATTTATCAGTCTACTCAGGCTTTAGCAGAGCTCAGTAACGCTGAGATTAATAACTGATCACATTGATTTATCAGTCTACTCAGGCTTTAGCCGTAATATCAGTGTTTGTAAGGAGGCTGTTAATTGACAAGCTATCTAACGAGCATGTTTGCTATGTGCCATGTTTAATTCACAAGCATTGATGATGTTTTTTTGAAGATTTGTTTAAAGATTATTTGAAGAAAATGTAACTTTGACTTTATTTCTGTGTTCTGATTGGTAATATGTATGTAATAACATTACGTAAAGTGTGTTACGCTGTTGTGTGAAGCCTGTTAGAGTTAGCTGCGCTATGCCAGCACTGCTGTGCAGCATTTTTGACAACATAGCTGTTGGTTTATGCAGGCAGAGTCCACAACGGCCGCACCACAGTTCCTTTAAAGGTCACACATTCGGCTTTGTAATCCTGATTGAAAGAACTTTTTGTCTGAACATTGTGTACACTGTGTCCAACCGTCCTGGCCGTCATCAGCGGCCGGCGAACGCAGAGAGACGGCCGCGAGGTGAAAACTAGGCCTTCTGCCGCACAATACCGCACAATACCGCCCCTTGTCTTGAACATGGGAATAAAAAAGAGCCGTAGTGGTTCTTCAGCCGAGCCCTTTGTGTCCCTCTCGTCGAGGTTACGTCAGCGTAGCCCATTTCCTTCAGTGCGTGTGCTGGGATTCTGGGTCCGCTGACATTGTTGTGTCCTGCACCCTACTTCCTTTGCGATTGAGCGTGTGTGAGTGTGCGCGAGTGTGTGTTTTAATCTCTGCCGAGCTTCGATAAGGCCACCTCCGTGCTTTCGCACAATGTTAGCATAAGCTGGAACTGGGCCATGAAACATGTTTGTATATAAGGTGACCCGCAGGGGCAGAGACAAAACACTTGCTTCGGTGCTGATGGTGCTTACGTGATGTGGGAAAAGGCCTGCGGTGTGAAGTTTTCGCCTGTTTCACTGAGCAGTTGAGCCTGTTTCACTTAGAATTACCCTTATAGAATTTGACACAATCACAATGTAAGCAGTGTTTTTAAATGTCTATTTACAGATGGGGATGCAACAATATAGGAGCTCACATGCCCATATTCGGTATTTTTACATGTATATCTGCGTGTGCAGAAGCTTTACTCAATTTTACTCAGATTAATAACCGATCACATTGATTTAGGCGAATAACTCCGATTACTCACACGTAGAATTTGAGTTATAGAATTAAACGCAATCACAATGTAAGAAATGATTTTTTTAATGTCTATATTTTAGTAGGGATGCACCGATACAGGACCTCTGGGCTGATGCCCATATCTGATATTTTTCACATGTATATCTGCCGACGCCAACGCCGATATAAAGTTGTGTGCAAAAGTTTTGGCACCCCCGGTCAAATGACATGACAATAGGTTAACACACTTCTATACATTCTAATGCATTAATGTGTTTTTTTTGCTGAATTTAACATATCGGGGGGGAAAAATAAGCGGTAAATTGGGGCATGTGGCTCATTTTATATATTATTTTTGATAAAGATGTTAGAGAAATAAATAGGAAATGCGCATTAATATTTGCAGACCAATGCCGTATTAAAGTTATTTTAACTTATAAAAGCAACAAAACAACAAACAATGCTTTTTCAAAAGTTTGCATTTGTAAAATGCAGAAATTGAAAGTGCAGATGTTTTGACGGGGTAGCCCGGCGTCGCCTGCACCCTTTGCTCTTGCGGAGTAAGTACGACTTCAAATA